AATACTAATACTAATACTAATACTAATACTAATACTAATACTTATAATAATACTAATAATAATAATAATGATAACCGCGATAATACTAAATGAAGTAAAACATTAGGTCACGCTACTTGGTCAACTGACCTCCCACCAATTTGAATTGAGACTATAGAGTGAAACACACTGAGTTAAACACTAGTATAAGACGTTTCTTTTAGGATCTCTGATCTCCTCTTAACTGCATCCAATATCAATTTTATTCTTCATCAACGCTGAATATTTCCCGATATAAAGAAAAACCCTACCCCGAAGGGGTACTCATAATTGAGTATTTAGACACCCTAGTTAATGTTAGAAGAATTTATATAACGGCTGCTACTTTGAAAGACTGAGAGTATGGGGGAAAACTAGACAGCAAATATTTAGTATGTTTTCGAGGACTTTCTGAATCCAATTTACAAGGTGTTCATATTATTTTGTCAAGTAGGCGGCATTGCCGAACTCAGAAAATGATGGCTAGTTAGCACTCTTAAATTATCGTATATTGTCAAGTAGTAATATTTCTTTCTATTAAGTGTGATTTCTAATAGAGATAAAGCGCTTGAGAGCTGATTTTAAGCCGAGGGGGGGGGGGGGGGTTTCTGGAAATTCTCGCTTTTCGATATGAATTAGTAAAAAAACTACCGGCAGTTGTGCTAGTAATGCGTCGTTTTTCGTAAAAGAAGCCGAAGAATCCATACATTGACTTTAGAATAAATTCCAAAAGGGACTGTGAGGTCCCAATAATAAACCTTCGGGCATATAACTCCTTCACTAAGTAGCATTATTATCTGTGAAAATTGAAATTTTTGCCCCTAAAAAGTCTGAAGGGCGTTCGGATCGTATCGTTGTAAAAAGAGTTGCTATACCTATAAACTAATGACTGATTTTAGAAAGATCCAGGAAAAAAACCTGGCATTTTTCTTTAAACCTCTTATTCTTAACTTTGTCTGTTATCATAAAATTTCAGAATCATACCTTTTTGTTTCTTTCTTCAGTACCAGTTAAGGAATACCTAGAGTGCTACGGTAAAGTGCTGTTGTAAAACCCAAAACTGGACGTTTTCTAACGAAAAGTGCGAAAAACACTCACTTTTATGGCTTGCTAATTCTAGTGCTGTGATTGGTTGAGAAGCAATTCCTTGCTTTCTGATTGGTTAATGGTGGAAGTCATCACACGAGTCACCTTCTAATTCTCTAATTTACAGAAAATTGTCTTCCAGCTTGAAAAAATTTCAAATAAAATACTAGATAAACAAATAACTTCTATACCTACCACTCATTCTCATTAAATCTTAGTAAAGGACTGACAATTAACTTTACACAGTCGCATGGAATGGATAAAAAAAGATTTTTAATTTTTTTGGCAATACTTCCAGGAATTATTACAAAATCTTCCTTAGGCTGCGTTCATATTTTATGGCAGGTGCAAATTTGAAATGTCCAAAATGATTCTTAACACCCTCCCTTAAAGTCATGCAGAAATACGATCCCCCCTAAGCAAGGGTTGTAGCTTCTTCCAAAAATTGTGCACCCCCCCATTTTTCTGATAAAAATTTGCCCATCCCCCCCTTTTTCCTACCAAAATTTCCCGATCCCCCCTCAATTTCCCCTGCCCCCCCCCCCCTGCCATACATTATGAACGCAGCCTTAAACCGATATAATAAATGAAATTGAAAGAGTGTTTTATTTGGCAATGCAGGGGTTTAAAATATATGAAGATAAATAAGATAATGACAGGAAAGATCTGATGTGGGACTGCGACCAATATAGTTTTATTTGAGCCGTTGGCGACTAGTTACAGAAAATAGAGAGTTTTAGATTTACGTTCACGGCAAACGTGAAACGTCAGTTGACCAGTAAAAAATTCTTTTAAATGACTGAAAAAGAATCGCAAAAAGTCCAAGTAGTAGAAAAACAAAAGAGTATTTGCGCTTGGTGAGAACGTTTGCAAAAGGTAAAGTAAAATACAGGAAAACTATGAAAACGTGGTCACGTTTGCCGTTTGCGGGGAGAAAAAATGTCAATCTAAATCTCTCTAATAATAACGGAAGTTCAGATCTTTTCCACTTTCCTTTCCTGCTTTGGCTTTGACAAATTCGAAAAATATAACGTCCGTCAGTTATTTTGATTGTTTATATTGTGAAGTTTATGTATTGATTCGAATATTTATGGCAGTAGTATTTATATCAAGTTGTAAAGTTTAGGTTATAAAGGGCAGGTAATCATAAATATATGAAATAATTATTTCCAATGGACTTATCAAATAATGGATCTAGATAGGCTAATTCAAACAGGGTAGGCTGGTATTGTGACTTTAATTACTGTCAAAATTCAAAGCCTTTTGATAGTCAAGATAACGTAATGAGAAAATCTGTATTTTGAGGGGGGGGGGGAGGGAAAAAAAGGTGAAAAAGGCATGATGGATACAAGGTTGAAATGAATGACTATTTATTTTAGTCGTTTCAATTCGACTAGATTTTCGAGCGAATCTTTTTAAAAAAGAAAAAAAAAAGAGCGAAATCTATACATTTAGTCATTCCATTAATTCGTTAAATCAATCAATTTATTCAACCATTTGTTTTCTAATTTCATTTATTAATTATTTCATTCGTTCTTTTTCTTTCCTTTCTCCCCTACCACTGCATTGTTTTAGCTTTCTGCTTTGCCTATCGTTCTCTCGTGTTCTCTTTGTCTTTTTCCCATTCATTCTCATTTACCTTTCTTACTTACTATACCTAACTTTCAATTTTTTTTCAATCCTTTTTTTCTCTCTTTCTTTATAAGACGTAGTCTCCCTCTCGGCCGTTTTAGTCTCGTTCCACATACATAAGATATTAAACTCCGCCTCTGCTATCAAAATCCCGCTAAACTTTCTAATCAGTAGTAAAAAAATTTCATTTTAAACAATTGTTTTGAGTATCAGTGCACATAAGATATTAAACACTCCGCCTCTGTTCAAAATCCCGCTAAGCTTTCTAAACAGTAGTAAAAAAAATCCATTTTACACAATTGTTTTGAATATCAATGCATTCAATACAATACTTTATTAAAAAATTTATTTTACAAGACCACCAAAATTTCAGTTTGTTATAAAATTCATTATCGCCGCGTGTGTAAATATACCACCAGCCGCCTTTTATCGCATCTGACGTCCAATTAATAAAACCATCTTGATAACAATATCATAAACAAATATTGGATTTTATATATGGAACCGAATATTGGGCCAGTCATCGATAATACTTTTTCAGAGACTGAATATTTTTTTGATGCTAGAATTAAACCAGTGCGCATGCAGAGCTTAAGAGTGACTGTATATTGTCGAGCCCGTGTTCCTTATGCTCAGCACCCGAACAATAATTGAAGCAGGCCTGCAAACAGATTGGTCAGTTCCCAGCCTCGTTCTAAGGGCCTTTTTTCTCGCTTTTTATTTAAGCGCCGCCATCTTGAAAAAAGCGAGAAGATAAGGCCCTGGGAACGAGGTTGGTCAGCTCCAGAACAAGAGAAAGCAGGCCTGCGATCAGATTGGAAGCTGAAATTGTTAGCGAATGAGTCCCAGCTCTCACCGTTCGTCTCGCTTCGATGCAAAGGCACGGCTACCATTCAAGATGGCGCAGGGAACTGTGAAGGGGACTATTTGTGAAGTCAATAAATGAAAATGCACCATGAATAAACTAATTACAGCTAAAAGTACCGGCGTTCTCTGCGGTCTTGGCTTGTTGCTTGAGGCTTTCGGTGCGACAACGAATTTTTGAATAGGTGTATATGAATTATAGCCTCCTTTCTCGGAATGTATTAAAACGTCTAGCTTCTGATGAAGTTGTCAATATCAATATCCACTTCAGACGCCCACCCATCACACCGAGACAACATCCTTGAGTCAAGAGACGTTAATGTTGAGCACCTAAGCAAATCACCTAACCGTATATTATCTTTATCATAACACATGATGAAAATGCGAAAAATGCGCCGCAAGTTCTAGATTATTCGAATTAATATAACAGAAAAGCCCGTTTCTAATGGATTTCTGGATTTGGCGGGAAGTCTGTTTCGCATAAAACGCGGACGCCTTCTTTTCCCCCTCCCACAGCTCACRCTTATTCCACGTGCCGAATCATCTAGAGATGTCCGCTTTACCGAAAAGGTGTTAGTAATGAATAAGACTCGAGCTTCCGGACATCAAAAGATTTTTTTCGATTTTAAAATTAAAACAAGATTGCTTTATAGCACCCTACGAATGATTCCGGATTGTTTTGTTCGTTGTCTCAGCCAGGGKATTGGTAATTGGGAATACAATCAGCGGGTAGACATTGTTAAAGCTCAGCACTTCTTACCGCGTTGACTTTTCTCGATTAAGAAATTAACAAATCAGTTAAAGCTTTTCATCCTAAAAATATAGCCAATCAGCAAACGTTTTTYCCCCTACAAAATAGCCAATCACCAAACAGGTTTTCAGTGCCATGGATACAATTGGTCAAATTAGCAAACTTATGCCATAGAGCAAGATTTTTTTGCTTCGTTCAACGTCATACATAGCAGTACACGCTAATTCCATTTTTTTCCTTTGTTTTACTTTGACTGTTCGTCACTGATTGTTGTCAGTTGTCACAACTTGTTGTCAGTATATGATTGTGAGTTACTGATTATGCAACTTCTATCCATATTACTTAATTCCAAAAAAGCAGATTTTTCTTGAAAATGTCACTACCGATTCACGTATTTTGGAAATATTGCGGTAGAACCGAAATAGTCTTTTGTCAGTTTTTTTGTTGTTTTTTTTTTATTCGTTTTTTTTTTTTTCCTTTTCAGGATGACTCGTTCGCAGCTCTAAATTGAATTAATCTATTTTCCGTACGTAAAAGGCCAGAGTTTCCCGCTGCGGAAATTGCTGCTCTCCTATACCAACATTTAGTTTAGTTTGGTCGTCTAATTCGTTATCCGCAAACTGTCAAACAGAAAACACTAGAATGGCTTGAAGCGTTCCATTCTGCCGCTAGTGTTTTGTTTTCGACCAGCGAATCACAGCTAGCAAAACCAAAGCTTCTTAAACAAAAGTCGTAAGAGCAAACTTTCTCGTACATAAAAAATAAAAGAGTGTTTGTCTTCTACTAGCTGTATCAATATTAACCACTTATATTTGGACTTAAAACTATGACAGTTTAGTACGAAGAAATGAGTTTCGCGCGTGCTCGCGAACGTACGCTCTAAAATATCAACGGAACCTTTGCCAGTGATTATCATTTTCGCCGGCGATTTTTTCATTCGTTCATTTATTTATTTATTTTTCGATTTAACATTTAACCAAAGTCGTGTCACGAATTTTGTTGATTTCTTTTGTAAGGCATCACTATGACCCAATCGCCTAAACCCAAGAGTTTAATGACCGCAGCTCTGAACTGCCGCATTCGAAGGGTGTATAGAATTGGATTAACACCAGAACTGAAATAAGTGATAGTTAGCGTTACATCTCTTGCTAAGTGGATGTTTTCCCAATTCCGGCAACTTACACATTGCACCATTAAAACGTCAACGATGAGCATTGGTAACCAACTTAGAACAAAAATGCACATCACAATAAGTAACGTCTTTGTGACATTCTTTTCTCGTTCGACTGCGCGTCGAGTGCGAACCCCGTTATTCTCGGGACGGGAAACTTGTCCTTGGTTTTCAATAGCTTCGGTGCTTAGGTAAAAGGCGGATGACGAGCGCGAGTCAATCGTAGCATTTACTTTCATTACGTTCTTAGTATAGTGACGAATCGATCTCAAAATCCCAAAGTATGCTAAAAAGATGAAAATGCAGGGGATAGAGAAGCCAACTCCGTAGAGATAAAGTTGATACGAAGGTGTCTGCCATCCTAATACCGGCAACAGCGCCAGATGGCCACTCTGCAGCCAGATCAAAACCACTCCAGCCAGAACCCGCTTACTACTGATCAACATTTCGTATTCAAATGGGTCCTTGAGCGCATAATAGCGGATTATGGTAAGAGCCGTTAGACTGGTTAGCGAGGAAGCTCCTGAAATAATGGCGAACAAATAATGTGCAAAGAATATTTGATCTTTCTTGTACCAATAACCACACGCTAGCAGCGGTTCAGCGCAGGCTCCCATGATGATGTCACTCACCGCTAAATTCACCAGAAAATAGTTTCTTCGCTTGCGAAGTTGGCCATATGGATCTTTCACGAAGGTGATGAAAACTAGCGAATTCCCAACCACTGTGAAAACTGCTACGATCATATAGAACACGGTACTGGCTAGTGACCCTTCGAAATAGTATCCTTCGTAGAACATCACTGTCTTCAAAGAAAACACATTTGTAAACCAAGACTCACAGCATTCTCGCCAGTGGCAGGAAATCCAGCGAACAAGCAAGTAGCTTTCAGCAAATCAACGATCCTCTGTAATTGACGGAGGATTCAACATATAGATTTAGCATCGAGTTGACAGGGAGTTTAATGATGACGCTGAGACGTTCTGATTGGTCAAGAATAAACTCTCTAACCGATACTTTAGTTAATAATGCCTTTCAAGTATAGTCAATAAGGCCGTTCAGTTGATAGAAATGTTCACAGTTAGAATTTCGGCATCGAATACGAATCCAAAGCGTCTATTCTCTGTTCTAAATCCTTCTGGACGTCAAATTGAATAAATCAGGTCTGAACGAACGGAAATCGGGTAAGAATTAATATTATTCTTCATGGAAACGAACTTCAGCCAAACTAGTTTTATTTTTGTTGTTGCTTGGCACAGAAAATTTATTGCTCATAAGTATGTCATTATTTATAGATATGATTATGTTTCTGGCTGTAGATTGACTTTAATTATTAATGACTTTAATATTGATGTTTTTATTCAATGATACAGTCGAACTCTAAGATGAAGAAGTTCGCTTGTTACCAGGGGCAGCCGACGATAAGTTTTTTYATTTAAAAAGTGTCTGTGAAATTTCCAGGTTGAACTATTAGTTTGAATGGGGATGCTCACGTATCGAGAAAGCAAGGTGAAGCTAGTGCTTACATATACCAATCTGGCGGTCAAAACAAGAGAATTCCCTTCTCTAGAGATTTGGAATCTTTTTTGGTGTTCTTTCCACCCCTAGGATGGAATTTCAAGTGCAAGGTGTCTATAGCAGATATCGGATAAACCTGGTCTCTCCCACTCACTCTTAGACACTCTTCATCTACTGAAGAATAAAGCAATTTATCAGTTTAATTAAGCATGCCAAATTAATCGGAAAAGCTGCTCTCTCGGCGACGCGGGAGGCGCAAACAGCTTCTTAAAATGTAAATAATTATTTTAAAAGTGTCATGTTTGTATGATCGTCTTCTGCCATGGTTAGCCAAGTAGATGGGGTGAGTTCAATAATTATCAAGTCTTTGATAATATCTGTAGACTTGAAATTAAGAAACCGTTATTATAATCATCCAGATCATCATCATCATCAAAAGCATAATACGATCCTCCTCCTCCTCCTCCTACTCATTCATGATTTTAGGAAATGAGTTCAAAAGAGAAATCGTGTCTGATGTTTTTTGAATTCATTTTATAGAATTTTTATTTTACGTTTTTAGTTTGAAATGCATATGAACAAAGTAAAAGAGAAGGGAACGGTGAAAACACTAGAATAAGTCTATCATTTAGTCATCGGACATACATGTGCATACAAAAATGGTCAGTAGGACAACATACACAAGATTTGGGAGAAAATACGAGATTCGCGAGAAAAATAAGGGTTTCCCACATCAAAGGAACGCAAGGATTCGGGAGACATCACAGCCGTCAAAWTACCTCAAAACATAGATACGACACGCGAGAATCCCAAAAAATAAAAAAGCTTAGACAACACAGGGATCCCGAAATATAAAAAATGAAATCGAGAATCCACAGAGATCCAACAAGAAAAAATGTATAAAAAAACAGGCGTTTTCAAAACAAGATAAGGGAAAATTACATATGCAAGAAGTTTAAGAATTTACTGATTTGGAAAGAGACCAAAGATTCGGAATGTTCCGATTACCATAAAATCTGGAAATGACGTTTGAAGGGGAAAAAATGCAGCATAGAGAAACGTCGAAACCACAGGAATCCCAGTAACATAATTACGACTGAAGAAAGTGAAAATGACCATCTTTAATTTTTCCCCAGTGAACAGACTGAAGTAAAAACAGTAGTTTCAAATGCCAAATCATTAGTGCATTTTGTAATCATAAATATAATTTTGGAATCATAAAACGGCTTATTTGTTTAAAAGGTTAATAATATTCTTATAAGAATTTAATATAGTAACCTTGATTTTTAACTTAAAAGCATGCATATCTTCTATTTTCCTAGATATTTTTCAATATATTTCTACCCTCCTTACCAAACTCTTGCTAACACCCTCTAAAAGAACTTTAACTAACTATAAATATAAAAATAGAAACGATTAACTGTAAACCAACAAACCCGAACTGAACACGGACGACACAAATGAGTACGTTACACCCACTCTAATCTAGGATTAATTTGTAAATATATCAAATGTAGGTAAAAACCCAACAAGACAAACAACAGCAAAACAAACATGACAAAAGTCCCTGTCCCTCTTACGCTGATGGTTGGAATTTCATAATCGCTACTTGTCTCCAAGTTTGTGGATCCTAATCTTGATAGGTTGAAAGAACGTCCTTGACAGTTCCTGGTCCCCAGAAAGTTAAATTGTCCTGCAGCAAAGAAAATAGTAGAATAAATGGACTACTTCGACGATATGGCGGCCATCTTGGATCGCAAGGCATAATGGGGCGTCCAGGGGCAAATAAAACTTCGCTCCAGTAATGACGTCGATTGATATCAACAGCTCACCACAAGAGAATACAACAAAAGATGAATTCAGATGGCATATTTAACACACGAAACTCCATATATTTACCATCATTTTGGTTTTTCTTTGACCCCTGACAAGATAGCCGTCGTATCGTCGAAGTGTTGTATTGTTAAGTTGGACACTGCTGCTTTCATTAGGCACAGCAAAACTACCCAAACTTACGCCCCTCCCCCCATCTCCACAAACAAACCTCATTTTGAATTAAACCCCGAAGCAACTTTAGGGCTGATCTTAAGGTAAAGTGAATGGCTAACTCAAAGATTGAACTGAATTCAGTGTGTCCACAGGAATCCCGCGTGAATCAATGAAATGTGGGTGCTGAGATACAAGGTGCAAAACAGTAACTTGAAATCATTTTCAAAAAAAAATCAACTATAAAATCAATAGAAATTAGATATTATCTTTCAAGCACAAAAAAAAGTATGATTTTTAGTCTCTTTAGTCAAACTTTTGGGCAGGTGGTCACCGCCCTCACTACAGCCCTTGTTATCTGGAACTGACATTAACTACAAAAAAAAAAATATGGCAAACACTCACTTGTGGAACATGAAGACAAAAGCTTGACAGATTAAAGTAGATAGACTTGTTGTTTGGTGTCTGGGGAGCAATAAATAACATTGTTATATCCCCTTGTTTGAACAAGTGCACACATGGTGGGATGCAAACAAAAGGTTACAAACCCCTTTATTAGCTATTCCAAGGTTGAGGAGAAGCTGGGTTGAGCTGGCATTGCAGTACAATGTGGGACTGTTTTAGGGGACTATTTTCTAAGATTTCGATTCCCCTAAAAAACCCGGGGGGGGGGCCTCCAGGAAAAAAGTACCGGGGATGCTCGTCGGAAATTTTGAAAAAGACCCCTAAAAGATACCGGAAGTCTTTAAAAAAGGGCGTGGCTGAATGATTTTTAGCCCCTAAGAGATACCACAAGAAATAGTATTAAATTTTATATAAAAACCTCCTAGGATAAGCCATATAGATGCACGCTTCTCTCCTTTTCTGACACCCTAAGAGATACCAGAAAATGCTGATTTTCAAAAATTCGCATTTAACACCCTAAAAGATACCAAATCGCGAATTTTTACCCCTAAGAGATACGATGAGCATCCCCAGTACTTTTTTCCCGGAGTCCCCCCCTGGGCTAAAAGAGTCCAATAATGGATGTAATATGTAATATTTATCCAATATTGTTTTCTATAGCACTAATTGCTGTGACATAAGATATTGTCTTTACTTTGCCAACCAGAGATCACTTCCCTGATGAAACAAAGCAACTTGGCAAGAACTATCRTGATAATGGTTGGCAAATTAACATCATAATGCTAATGCATCTAAGCAGCAATTAGCAGTAATTTTGCACCTGCTAAGTAGAGTTGTGGGGATTGGCCAAAATAAACAATAGTTTTCATTGTTGACTCGTTCTATTGTTCTGTTCATATTGTTTCTTGTTTTATTGTATTCATCCAATTGGGTTAGATCCAGTACAGTAATGTCGCATCTGCTAAGTAGAGTTGTCGAGATTGGCCAAAAAAAAATCAACAATAGTTTTCATTGTTGACTCATTCTATTTTTTTGTTTATATTGTTTCTCGTTCTATTGTATTCATCCAATGGGGTTAGATCTTCTTAGAGCTGCGACCTTGCACCCAATAGGCTCTTTGCAGTTAGCGGTAATGTGTCTGTACTGGTAAGCAAAATTTTTTTATTTTATTTTTATTTTGTAAAGAACTAAATGAAACGAGGTGTAATCAGTGTATTACAAAATGCAGTTTTATTACAATCTCTTGAAACAGGTTGTAGAAAGTTTGTTTGCTCACCAGTATATTTCACCCATGGGAATCAAGATGTTCATTCATTTGCTCTCAGTGAATTAATCAGCACGTGATTGCTTAGCTGCAAAGGGTCAATTAGTGCTATACCATTAATGCAAATCCAGGTTTCCTACCTGCAATCTGTTTCTGTTCACAAATAAGAACATGGACTGTGAAGGGTTGTTCATGATCAGTCCTGTACAGTCTTTCCTGGCCAACAGGTGAAGAAGCTGTTTCTCATAATCACTGTGATAAAACTCAAACTTTACCTGGTTGATCAAAGAAATTAAAGACAGGAAATTAGTTTAATTTAGTGAACATGCTTTTGAATCATTAAACCCTGCTTTAGGCAATGACTATGTTTTTCTTTTGTAATACAAATTGATTTATACTATCCCTCCTTGCTCAGGAGGTACATGTTATTTCCTACACTTTTAGGAATATCAAAGCTAGGAAATGGGAGGGTGTTTAAATGTACCTACTGTTCCCCTGCAGAGACGACATAGCATAGTTTTGATTGGGGAGGGGGTGATCTGGGGGGTCTGCAGGAATGCCCTTACCCCCTGAAAATTTCAAAAATTGAGGCTCTTTGACCATGGTTTTAAGGAGCAAATGCAACATATTTAAAGCAATAAAGTCATGTCAAAGCATTAGGCAATTCATAACAGAAAATCGGGGATTAAGCTAACTCAATCTCCCTTGCCTCCTTGGTCCCTGCCCTAGCTCCCTTACCCCTAGTTGATTCAGACTTGTATTTCTAGAAGGACCCCAAGCTATCAAGCCGTACCCTTGCAAAACAAGAAGGATTGATGGATGGATGGATGAAGGGAGGCAGGGAGGGCGGGAGGAAAGGAGTGAGGGAGGGAGGGAGAGAGGGAGGGAGTGAG